TGCCTCTGCTTCCCCCTCTCTCCCTTCCACTCCCTTAATTATGGGCTGCTAAAGTTCAAAAAGATTTTTACCTGCTGGTTGGAAGGAAAAATGGCATACACCATAAAGGTCAGATGTGCATAAACAGGACTGCATAGCATTAAAGAGCAAGGGGAAGAGCAAAGCTAAAACAAGTGGGGAACTAATAAAAAAGACTATCATTGCTGACTTATGGAATTAAGAACTACGAAGTTTCCCTGTGATGTTGTCAGCCATTTCTTTCATCTTTTCTGCCTACAAATGCAGCTTTCCCATGTTTTGTTCTCACCTATTCAGTTCCAACTCTTAAGAGTATGGAGATGGGCTTTAGGGCAGAGAAGAGGCTACTGGTAATAAAGAATATCGAAACTCCTTTTCAGCGTGACAAATGAGAGTTTCCCGCGAGATGCACCCTTTTCTACGTACGAAGTCAATTCAGGCATATACATTGTTAAAGCGGAAAAAGGCCTGACATGAAAACCACAAGAACAAATGGCAATTTCCCTCTCATTCCTGGAGTCTCCAATGGATGCTGACCACCTAAGCAATGGAGTAGTAACTGAAATCACACCCTCGACATATCCCTGAATTCCCACTGTCATTTTATTGGCCCGAGAAAGGTACAATATCCTGGCCCATTGCCTGAAACCTTCCATCTTGTTTGTAAAGACCTTAACACATAAGCCAGTTCATTCATCTTTGCAACTCCCAAAGTTGTTTATCCTTAACACTATAGTGCAAAGCAGTCACACGGCATAGCACTACATCACTTACATAGGTGAGTGTAACTTTTGTAGTTACAAAGTACTGACCTACCATTTCACCTTCAGAATACAAAATGTTCCCTTTCTAATTAGTGACTTGAGAAAGAAATATTTGAGTCACCAAGAGTATAAAAATACTCCATATACTTCTGTTCTTAGCTGTGTGGGTTTTGTACAATGGCCTCTTGGCATTAGCTAGAAACTAGAGCCCAAATACTCAGTGGAAATCCGTCCCAACGTAGTAATTAGTATCATTCAGTTACTTGACCTACATTCTAAATGCGTCTAGACAGAATTCACTGCTGATAGTTTGGGGGGATGGGAGGGGTGAGATGGGTTGTTTTTTTAATCGGGAAAAAAGAGAAAAGTTTCTAAATTCATTTTCAGATCTACATTAGAAAAATCAAGAATGCTTTGAGACACATTGTCACACAGAGAGAGATGCAAGAGGTCCCCTGCCAGTATAGATCAGAGCTGACAGTAAGTGAGAAGTGTGCTGTATTGCATCAGCTGGGATCTGGCCTAAGAACCTCAGCCTAATCCATTATTAGTCCATGCTGCTGAAAAATATTGAATGGTACAGATGAAATAAGAGAAATGCAGCAAAGAACTATAAATAGCCTGGGGGGGAAAAAAAAAACCCCACAACATTATCTACACACTGGTAACAAGGTTAGAACTGTCACATGCCCTGTGCATGATACTTTTTAAATTATATATAAAAAAAATAATGCCCTACATTCCTTCATAGCTTATCTCCCTAGAAGCAAAGACCCGACAGGTCTAGACATGCTTTAAAGCTATGGGCCAAAAAGATAAGTTTACTACTGTGTATAAAATCGTGCTGATAAGCAGCATAATGTTACAGCTGAAGACTCTAAGGATCACTTAAGTCCTCTAGTGGAAATGGAAATGGAAATTAAGTAGCGCATGAGGCTTTTGCCTACCCTGTCCATACACGCACACTGTTCTACAGCACCAAGTCACTGATCACTGGAAAAAGTATACTGGCAGAAGGCTAAGGCCTCCAGTAATATCGCTGAGCTAATTAAAAGCCCTGATACTGGCATCCTCCCTGGACACGCTTTACTCCTCCTTCCCTATGCCCTTAACACAGAGCACATGCAGCTGCCTCTGCACCAGCCTCCACGCTTGGGTCACCGCTGGGCTGCTGAGGCGGCAAGCGCAAGCGCACGTGTCCTGCCTCCTCTGACCCCCGCGAGGTCCGGAACACGGCCAAAAGCTACCCCAGGGCTAGCGAGGTCCTTGTCGCCTAACAGCCGGTGGGTAGGCGATGACAGGAGACTTGTTGGCCACTAGTATCTAGCAGAGAAACCTGTTCTATTTAAGGCCCCTGAAGAAAAATGATCACAAACCAACCAAAGTAAAGCAAAGGTTCTCCATATTACAAAGAAGGAGTATTTAATATAATAAATCCCCAAGCAATGTGTGTGCTAGGTCGAGAGATTCCCCAAAAGAGTACCTAAAAATAATTTACAGGATTACACAAATTAAGATTATAGAAATAGATTATCAAACAGTTGCAAGAAAACTGGTATTGCCATACTGGCTTGGATGAATTAGTTCAGAGGCCTGACCCAGACCGCGGCCAGTTTAAAATGCTCTAGATGAAAACATGACTACCTGCTAATCAGATTTGAACTGACCTGCCCAAATTAAGCAAACAAAATGGCAAAGCTTTAATGGTGACTAGTGCAATAGGGTTTTTTGGGGGGAGGGTGGAGGGGTGTTTGGGTTTTGCGAAATTGTCTGTTGTTTAAGTACTGAGAAATAATTCAATTTTGGCTTTAATACAGCGAAGTCAGCTGTATCTGCAATGGCAGATAACAGGCATAAGCGCAGGCAGAGCGGGCTCCTACTTATGCACAGTGCAAACTGCCAGACTAGGAAGAGCAGTGCTGTGCTCGACAGCTTGGGGCCTCTTTTGCAGAAGACTCAACCGTTCAGTTGCCCTCAGAGGTGGCAAATCATGGCTGCTCTGAAACAAAAGACCATTTCAGGAATTTGCTAAGCTATGACCTTGTCCACTTACACTGACCAGCCATACCGTAGCGGAAGGGTCAGTCCCTGCCTTCTGTCACTCTGCTGACCTCATGTGGTTAAGCAATGCAGCCATCCCTTGTGGCACCCTCAGTGGCACCCACCAGTGTTCATTATTTATGTGAAGCCTAAAATCATCTCTCAAAAAAACCCCATACAAAAGTCGTTGGTGGATACTGGAATGTTGCAGAGGACCCAGTAGCATCACTGTAAATGGAAAGAGGCTTTAGGGGGGAGACTGACCCATGTCAAGAAAAAGGGAACACTTGCAAAATAGACTACAATGGCATTTCTCCTCTCATTGCCACCGAAGGTAAAATAATAAAAAGGCACTTGCATAGAAGAATAGGGCATTACCTAGAAAGCACGTCTGTACACCAAAACACATTACAACTTCATGGAGTCAGGTACATGTTTCACTGTCACTAATGTGAAAGACCTTCTTAAAATGGTATGGTGGGGACTGATCCACAGCCTGCTGTAACCCACCAAATTCTTTCCTTTAATTTCACTGAGTTTTGAGTCAGGCCTGAGGGCGGCAAAATAGGATACTGAAAAGAGAAAGCCCAAGGAGAATGAAGAACGAGAAAGGAGCTGGTGTGGCAGCTGCTGTAATAATATACAAATCCAACATTTTACAAAATAGAATACTTGCAGGAAATATCTACTGTACATGGTAAAAAATTACTTGTAAGGCTAAGTTAGTTTTTCCCTTATTTATATCATTAGGAAACAAAAGAAAAAAGAGCTTCAAAATTGTTTATTCTTTTTCTAAATTGACTTCTTCTGGTAAACTGTAAAGTAGCCATATGCTAGCCTGCTGAATTAGGATTTTCACATCACATCCATCCTCAGTGGAGTCTGAGCGCCCTCCGTAGTAATCAGATAAAACCCTGATCAAATCCTGGAGTAGGTTCGACTGTGGCACGCCAAGGACAAATTGCAAGAAGCACAGCTCGGGCAAAGGCATGACCAGGGTACCGAGAAAGGGAAAACCCTTAAAGGCAACAGCTACACAGGACAAGGAGGAAACAAAGCAGGGAGAAGAGTACTGGACCATGATCAGACCTGAATATTGCTCTTTTCCACTGAACCTCCCTGTGTGCCCATCTCTTTTGCTCTGTCTGCTGCCTACACACTTAATTGCTCAGGTCAGGGGCTGTCTTGCCATACAGTTAATACAAATATCTACCACTTCCAGGCCTGAACTGCGCCTAGCTGGGGCTACCTATACCCCTTATCTTTTCGGCTAAGCAGTTGGTCTAAGATCACATCCCTGGAAAAGGATGTAAGAGGAAGATAAGACCTATGGCTTTATTTTAGGGCAATTCAAGTTTGGGGGGAAAGAATGGGTGTTCAGTGATATTTGTGTGTCTGATTTCAGAGTTTGCCCAGACCATTTGTAGGGTTAGGGAAGCTCAATTCTCTTCATTGTAACTGCTTGAACAAAATTTTGTGAAGCTAATAAATACTATTTACAACAGTAACAGGAAGATGGCAAGGGAAGGAAAACACAGGACAATCTGAGACCGGGTCTACATAAGAAATTCCGTCAACACATCTAGAAGCCAATAAATTAAATCCATATGGTACTATCAGGAGGCACTTCTGGTTTAAGCCTTACATTGATTTAGTTTGTTGGGAAGGAACTGATTTAAGCTAAACAGATTAGCCTTAAGCAGACTAAGGGACATCCATCCAAAACATTGCATAAATTTAACAAAACCTGCTTTCTACACAGATTTAGTTAAACTAGTGTAATTCTCCCACACAGACAAAGTGTGACAAGACAGCAACTGATCTTTGCTTGAATTCCACAAGGGTGGAAGCAGTAGGGAAGACTACTAGGACTGCTTTCAACCCAGAGAGAAACCTACCCCACTAAATGATAAAGGGGTTGGAAAGGAGAAGAGAGAAAGAGCTAGGGGAGGACAATTCAGCAGCATCACTGCCCACCCCTCTCCTGCCTGTGCTGTTAACTGAACAGTATCAGGGCCCATTCTTGTCCCTTCAGAATCAGACTACAAAACATGCTTCTCAATCCACCCAAAAGGCTCAAGTGCTGTAGACCAGTAGGCACAGAGCTGTGGCTAGATTTGGAGTTGGAGGAGCATTACGCTGCACCTCCTCTTTCTCTCAATTCCTTCTCCCAAGAAACCCACATGCTCCCATCAGTTTTGCATATTCCACTCTTCTACAGAATGTCTTTGTGCTCAGATTAGGATGTGTGCCTGCATGCACACACACCCACCAGTCACCGGCACACTGCTGGCATCATCTGCCATCATAATTCAATCCTGCCCTTGCAGTAATCAGACAGGAAAGGAATAAAAGCAAAGACAGGGACTGTGTGTGAAGTGAGGAAGGGAGTTACAAAGGCAAGAGATCCCATCTGCAGTCACATCCTCACCAGTCAATGCAGAAGTTGAACTCCCTCTCTTTTGTGCTTTGGTTCACTGAGGATGACAAGTCAGGGTACTTTGGCTGAAAATATGTAGGAAAGAGGGAAGTCAAGAAAAAAGGCTTTTTTTATTTTTAAGAGGTGGCATTGACTCTTCTATCTATTTCAATTATCTTCAGTGTTTCATTTCCTTCTAGTTCGGAGTTCACTCTGCAGGGAACAAAAGAACCAAAACAACAAAGGTTAATGCTAATAGTAATTTTTAAAAGCGCATATCCTGCCTGAATTGGCTAATGCTAAAAAGGCACCCTGTATTTACCAGGTACTTGTCAGTTAGAGTAAGGTAACACACTGAATTAGTCATCTCTTCAGCTCTAGGTATAACTTTGACACAAGTGCTCAGAAGGTGTGCTTGGGGTGATACAGCTCATCCTAGCCCTCAGCATGCTTCCAAACAAAATCCCCCTCTCCACTGTTTGGCGTGCTTGCTACTGCTTGTTAGCAGAGACCAAGACCTGGGCCAATAGGACAGTGGCAGGACAAGAAGAGGTAGAGTGGAAAGAAAACTACACACACATATTTAAACCAGCGAATGTCTCTCTTTGCAGAGGCCCCAAAAACTGACATTTATGCTGGGGGGGGGGCGGGGAGAAGGAGCTGTGTTAAGTAGTTCAGATAACTCTACCGGTCTGCCTCTTAGGACTGAATCCTGCAAACTTTCCACAGTAATGCTTTGGTCAGATCACTGCTTCAAGAAGCTCCAGCTCTTCACACCCTAACCTCATAAGACAGCCCAGGGAGTCACAGCCTCACACTTCCACCCAACTGGCAAAAGCTTATTCCTTTAGGAGACACAGAAGTACGTGCTTAAAGATGGGAGTAGACACAACTAACAGGCTTACAGGGGTTCTGTTTCTGGCAGAAGCAATGAGTTTGGTAGCTGTATTACTACAATATTGTTGCAACCACTTCTCCAGAGCAACAATAACTTTGCCTATAACCTCTCCAGAGACCAAACTCTTACTTCATGTTTCACAGTGCCCAGCATAGCTGAACACTTACTCTTACTGCTGGCCTCCAGGCACCAATGACAGTGACGCCAAACACCCCTGTGACAAGCAGCCCACCCTGCACTCACCTGTGCTGCTGCAGGCCCAGCAGCACTGACTTCTCTAGCCTTGTCTCGTTGGCTATTGTGAACTGCATGATGTCATCCTGCTGTGTCCCTGGCATGGCTTCCAGGGACAGCGCTGTGTACTTGGAGTTGTCTGCTTGCCTATCATTGCGATCTGCAAAGGATATCGGGCCTGACGACTCCTCCAGTTGGTGAGGCTCTTCATAAATTAGCAGACTCCTTGACCTCACTGCATACAAAGACAGAAGGCAAAAAGAGATGAGAAAGAGGCAGCTCAGAGAACAGCCCTGATCATTTCAGGAAATGCAAACCGTCAGAGCAGAACTAAAGCTGTAAAGGTCTTTTCTTTCCATATTGATTAATTGGTAATTTGATAGGTGAGGGAAGATACCACAGCAATGGTTCAGGTAGGGATCAAAAAGCTCTGAATTATTCACAAAACAACAACAAAATTAAACAATCACTTTGATAATATATGTTGAAAGCAAGTGATTCATTGCAGGTATATAATACTAACAGTTTCCCACTTAGTCCTTGGATTCTTTCTTGACACTGGCAAAGGACACACCAGCTGATATCAGTTGTGCATTTTAACAGTATGAACATTTGCTACTGAGTAGAAACCCTACTCGGTACCTTTTACAGACCATTAGCTTTAGTTCCACAAACAGGAACAAAACTGCTTTAAACAGAAATACCGAACAGGCTAGTGGGGAAATGCTTTGCCCATGTCTATGATGTCTTCTGCCATAGGAAGAGCTTGCCAAGCTATCCTTTGAAAGACACAGGTCTATCAAGGAATGGCCTGCTCAGGAGCAGAAAAACAAGAGGTGCTTGAGGAGGGGGTTAGGAATGGGGGTATGTATTGTGTTTGCATGGCAAGGTTTTGGTAATGGTGGGGGTTGCAGGGGTGGCTTCTGCGAGAAGTTGCTAGAAGCTTCTCTGTCCAACAGAGACCCACTACTGGCCAAACTCGAGCCCATCACTGACAGTGGTAGCGCCTCTCTCATAACATATTTATGAAGGGGGAAAAAAACAGCACACGGCATTTGCAGCGGGAGAGAGGAATGAGAATATGTGAAAACAGCTCTGCAGACATCAAGGTCAGTGCAGAAGGAGAGGCAGGAGGTGCTCCAGGCACCAGGGCAGAGATTCGCCTGCAGCTGTGGTAAAGTCCATGGTGAGGCAGGCTGTCCCACTGTGGCCCATGGAGGTCCACAGTGGAGCAGATCTCCACCTGCAGCCTGTGGAGGACTCCAGGCCAGAGCAGGTGAAGGAGGCTGTGACCCTGTGGGAGGCCTGTGCTGGAGCAAGGGACATGGGACCTGTGGACCCATGGAGAGAGGAGCCCATGCTGGAGCCGGTTTGCTGGCAGGACTTGTGACTCTGCAGGGGACCCACGCTGGAGCAGTCTGTTCCCGAAGGACTGCACCCTGTGGAAGCGACCCAGGCTGGAGCAGTTCATGAAGAACTGCAGCCTGTGGGAAGTACT